AAAACAATAAAAATTAAAAACAAACAAACAAAACTGTAAACCCAATAAAACCAATAAAAACAAACAAAACAATAAAACCAATAAAACCAATAAAACAATAAAAGCAATTAAAAAATAAAACCAATTAAAAAACAATAACAATAAAAAATAAAAACAATAGAAACAATAAAAAACAATAAAAACTAAAAAAAACCCAATAAAAATAAAAACAATAAAAAATCCAATAAAAATAAAAACAAACAAAAACAATTAAAAAACAAAAAACCCAATAAAAACTAAAAACAATGAAAAACAATAAAACCAATAAAAACCAATTAAAAACCAATTAAAACCCAATAAAAACCAATAAAAACAATTAAAACCAATTAAACCAATTAAAAAACAATGGCTGGAGACAGCTGTGGGCAGCGTGGTTTGATGTGCATGGCTGGGAAAGATGAGGGCAGTGACCGTGGTGCTGGATCAGGCCACTGTTCCTCTACCTCCATTTGGCAGCAGCTCCTGGCATGTGTGTTGGGAGTCAGCACAGCCCAAGGGTGAATCCCCTGGCACTGGCCAAGTCAACCATGGAGCAATAAACATTTTTCCATCCCCACCAATTTCCTGGTCCGTGAAACTGCCCCCACTTCACTGGGGCAGCAAACTGGGCCACACAAGAGAAGCCCATGGAGGTGAAGCTGGGGAAGGGAATTGCCATGGAAGCAAACAAAGGTCACAGTGTTACTATGTGCTGAAGGACTCAAAATATCAAAAATCACTAGCAGATAAATACCCAAATCATTAATTTCTGTGTATATATATTGGGCCAAGTGCCTCCCTGGTATAAGTGCAGCATTTGTAAGGCAGCAAGGATGGGTTTAGTCCAGTGTGTTTAGATTCTCCATTATTTATACCAGATGCTTGGGGTTTTGTTTTCCTTAGCGGATAATAAGGGTCATCCCAAACAGAGTTGTTACTTTGCTTGGGTTTCATTGAAAGAGACACTACTAAAGGGAGAGGAAATCCCCAAAATGATACTTGGTGATTAAGTACATAGAATATAGGATTTCAGTGTTTGCAAATCCTTTTTTTCAAATGAACTTGTGGCACTAATCCTCTAATGGCATTATTTCTTTGGAATATATGCCGGATTAAGGAGTCACAATGAGGCAAAGTACAAAAATCCACATTAATCTCTCACTGATGGATGCTGTGTGGGATGCAACTTTAACTATTTTGTTCCAAAATTGGTTCTGTTCCTAACCTTGCCCTAGGCCTAGACAGAGGGCAGAGTGGATATAAACAAGTGTGACACTGAGCACCCGGCAGATGGTCACAGACCATTTAACTGGATAGAGAGGGGAAGGCATTTATTATTTTTAAACTCCAAAAGCTCAGCCTGCCCCGCGCTGCCCGTGACGTGCTGCAGGAAGCAGACACAGGTCTGGGAGGCAGGAGCAGGACACCTGCTCAGAAGTGTGTCATGGAGGAGACAGACACAGCAGATAACAGGGCCTGGCTGTCATGACAGATCGTGTGTTACAGCACAGCCTGGGCCTGTGGCAAAGCACTGCTCGTGTTTGCAGCCCAGTGCAGCCACCTCACTCTCATTAACTGCTTTGTTTTGGGATAACCCTGTTGTCCCCTCTTCCCTCACAGCTGATGTAAAAAAGGTAAAGATTTGCTTTCTACGAAGAGGAGACACTGTGAAACTGCATTTCCCTTCTCACTGAGTTACAGGCAGTTTGTGACTTATTATCACTGTCACTCAGCCTCCAGTGATGAAAGAGTTTCTGCATGGGCAGCACATCACCTGAAACACTGATGTCAGATTGTGCGAGTTAGCCCAGCCCAACCACTGTAATTGGTGCTTAACCTGCTTAAGGATTTCCCCAGTTTCAGGGGACAGAGGTTATCAAATATTCCCATTCCACATCCTCATTGAATTGCAGTGGGCACTGAATGTCCTGGGCCAGAAGAACCCGGCACGTGTTCAAAAATACAGGTTGCTTTGTCCCTGCTTCATCCCTGGTCACTCCATTGTTAAGCACAAGTAAAGAGCTGCCAAATCCAACAAGTTCTTTACTGACACAAGTGATTGGGATTTTCCATAGTTTTTTTAGCTGAGATGCCTGAACTTGTGAAGTGAAATAGCACACAGGGAGTGATCCTTCCCAGCGGATACAGGTCTGTAGTGAGATGCTAGTTTCAGAAATTGGGACAGGACAGCCACTGCTGGTGTCAGAAAACCCTAAAACCAGCTTGGAGATCCTTTCTGTTCAGGAATAGAAATGTGCCCTCCAGTCATGTAGACAAAGACGGTTGATCGCAGTGGGTTTGTACATTTTTCCCTGCTATAAATGTTTCCCAGTGTGACACTTCTCACGGCCATGATGTTCACTCTTTAAGTTTTTCTATTCTTAATCTTATCCTTTGGGTCCTTGTGCCTTATTCCACCCTGTGGAAATCATTAGTGCACTGACACACTGAGTCAGGCCTGTCCTCAGGGCTGGTGTCTGCTCAGCTGCTTGCAGTGGAATCATTAGTTTTGTTTACCAGCTTCATCATTCCCCACTAAAACCACTCCAGTTCCCATATGTCTTTAGTGTGCACATATCAATGGATGGCCTCTTGTGTTTAAAGAAGTATAAATTATATTGCAACAGGTGCAGACAAAGGTGAGCAGGAAATGATAAGGAAAGTTGAGAGTTTGCCACGTGAGGGGAGACAAGAAGAGTTTGGCTGGTTTAGCCCACAAAAGGGAAGACCTCATAGATTGAAAAGGATTATCAAGGCTAAAGAGATTCAGCATAAATGGCCATTATATGGTTAAGATTGGAATTGTAAGGTTCTCCATTGTGGAAATCAGACTTTAGGGCAGACAGACAAAAAAGAGATATAATGAAGTTTGAGGCAATATAGGGTGTGTCCAATGATTGCTCTGTAATGTTGTATCATCATGTTGCCCACAAGCAGATTGCAGTGGATGATGCAGTGTGACCTCCTCCCGTGACTCCTGCTGCCCCAAAATGAACAGGAGTGCCCTGGTCCTTTTCCTTACTGAACTGTGCAACATCCCGCTGACAGCAGGGCTCTGCTCAGCCTCCAGCACTATTTCTGACCAGTATGGACAAAAGGGGTGGGAAAACAAAGAGCTTTTCTTCAGGTAGTCTTGTAACCTGATCTATAGGGTGACTCAGCCCCTTCGAACAACAGCTGTCTCAGGGAGGTACAGTGCTTTGGGTGCAGCATCAAGGGCTGTGCTGCCACTTCCTGATTTCTGCCTTGAGAGTGATCTCAGCTGGGACATGATCAGAGAATTTACATGGACTCCTCAACCCTCCCCAGAAAAGAGAGGCCAGGGACAGCAGGCTGACTTTGGGATACAGTGCAAAGGAACGGAGGCACTGGGGAAGAGCCCACACACGGCTTGTGCAGAGCTGCTGCTGTCAAACTGATGAAGGCAGAAACTTGTGAGAGAAAACTACGTGGAAAGTTCCTCTTAAGGAGAGGAGTGGGGTTTTGTTTGCATGTCATGGCTCACCTCTCCTGCAAGCCCTGAAAGTGCTGTGAAACGTGAAAGGGATCCTCAGGAGAACCAATGGAGAAGACAGGTATGTTCTTTGTCTAAAATAATACCACTCTACAGCATGAAATCACAGCCAGGGTAAGCAGGATTGCTCTGCAGCTCAGGAACTGTGCATGTACATCTCAGTACATTGGTTTGTATCAGCTCTGTATTTATTAAAAATACAACTGTGTCAACATATTAAGAGTCAGACTTTAAACAGTGCATCAGCTTTTTGTAACTGTAGGTGCTCTGCCCTTGAAAACTTGTATTATGGCAGAAAACTTCCAACACAATGAGAAAATGTACATACATATATGCATATCTGTGTATATATATATATATATACTCACACTTTTACATACACACACAAAGTATATGTATATAAAAATTATATTTATTTTATTTTTGCATTTCCCCCCCAACACACCTCTTGCTATAATAATATGGAAACTATCTGTGCAAGTCACAGGGTTTCTGATTCTTCTTCATGTGTTTCTCTGGTTTTGGGAAGGGGATGCCAGTGATGTTCTCTGTAACTGATGGTTATGGAAATGACCGAGTTCATGTACTCTGTGGATGGCAGCAAATTGTGGAATGAGTTGTGTGTGCGGGTCTGTGCTGGGGAAGGCGGAGTCTGTGTGAGCACAGGAATCCATTCGGGAGCTCTGCTGTGTTACAGGCTCGGGGGCTGAGCGCTGCTCATTCCCCCTGCAGTTGATGGCACACAGCAGGACTCCATACATACATGTCTTTTCCTCAAAGTCCTCACAAAGTCAGTGAATGCCTGCTTAGTTTTAAGACTGTTCCATTAAAAGTATGTCTGTGTGGGCAAATGCTAAAGAAAGGCCATCCAATTAATGTTTAGAGAAAAACAAAACAGCTTCAGAATCACTGGCTGATGCTATAGCTTGTGTAGCATAAAAGGAAATAAGGAAAGCTGTATAAATTATAGAGTCAAACTTTACTGTACCTGTGAATTAGTGATCAAAACTGAGGTCACTGAACTGTTCCAAATAAGCTCCCTGGGGGTTTGTTTTCTTCCAGCAGTGACACATTCCCAGTGTCCACAGCTATGATATCTGGTTGGTTTTGGCACTGTCACTTCAGCTTTGCTCTAAGGTGTTGGGTTTTCATTTGCATGTTCCACTCTGAGCTGTGACATTATTCAGGCAAGGATGGCCTTGTGCTCCCTGTTGCACACCTCCTCCTCCTCCTCTCATCTTCCTGACTGCCAGACTGGCCTTTGGCATGAAAAATTACTTTGGCATCAGATGTAACCTGGCATCTCCTCAGAACAGGGACATCCCAGCCTTGATTCTCTAATGAGGCCACAGGACTATGAGTTGAACCTGGGGTTGAATGCCAGGGGAAGCAGCAGATTAGTCCTCAGCATTCTCAGCTCAGGTGGGGTGGCCTCGGGGGCAGTTTGCTTTAACAAGGCAGCAGAGAGTGATACTTGTGCCATCGAGGACTTAGACCATTGAGTCTGCTGTGCCAACACTGAGCATTACCAATTCCTTTTGAAGGAGGAGAGATATGTTCAGTCTGGTCAACTAAACAGTGCTGTTCTATTATTAGCATGAAGGCAATGGTGGTGAATTCTCAGTGCCATTATGAAAGAAGGTAAGCAAGAGTGAACATTACAAAAGCTAATTCTATGTCTGCTGATCCCCTGAAAGATGACATGCTGAACTGCCAGGACAAGCAGGAAGAGGACACCCCAAAGAGTTCCCCGTTTGACTTTGTTATAAAACAGTTCCAAGGAAAGAGCTGTGCTCCTGAAAAAAGGAAAGAGCAGCCTTCAGCCATCAAAAAATTCTTCAAGGGCTTTGACTTTGGGAAATCTGAAGGCAAGGACAAAAGGGAAATTGAAGAAAAAGAAATAAACAACTCTGGAGCTGATGATCAGAGTGAGAAGGAAGATCTCTCTGTAGAAGGTAATGCTGGTACAATAATGAAATATATGTGCATGTGTATATATTTTAATTTCATAGAAAATCAGTTGCTGGTTTTGCTAGCCAAAATCTTGTATTTGCTACTTACAGCTTATCTTTTAATCAGGATTTACTTCTGATTGGAACATCAGCAAGGATGTACCCTCTAATTTGATAGGTGCCAAGCAAGGAGTAAGATCCATGTTGCTGAGGAGGGATAAAGCTTTTGGGTGACCTCTCCCTTGGTCTCCCATGTGAGAAGTCAGTGCTGAAGTCAGCTCATTAGTTGCAGAGCTTATTTGGTTTCCGAGCCAAGCTTTGAGCAGCAGCTTGGCCTGTTGTATTTAGGATGAGTCTCTGTCCACCCTGCTGCTAAAGCAATCTGAAGACAAGAAGAGGAGATGTTTCCTTCCACTTGACACTGGGGAGGGGAAGGGAAAGCGAATGGGAATTCATCATGTATGTTATTTTGCACACACAAGAATACTCTTTACAATCACACTAGGGAAAATGAGGCTATTTTTAAAAAGGAGCTGGAAGATGAGGCTCAGAATTCCATCCTTGGTCCTAAGGATTTTCAGTCAGTTTGGGGAAACAGTGATAGGACAGCTACTGAGAGTGGGATTGCTATTTTGTGTAATTTTTGGCTGCTTTTTTTTCATCTGTAGGCATTAGATGAAATTACTGATTTGTTAAAGGGTTTAGCATTGCATGTAAATGCAATTTTCCTTGCTGTACAAACTGCATAGAAGAGGGAGGTAAGTGGGTGTTCCTTTGCAAAGCCCAGAAAAGCAGGAACTCCCTTACACAGATGATGTATGAAGCTGAACACGGGTTGTAATGAAGGAAGCAGCAGGTTCACCACACAATTGCAGGGCCACTGGCTGCTGAGGAATCCAGCTGAGACTGCTGAGCAGTGTGGCTGCAGTGCAGGCACAGCAGCGGTAACACAGCTTGTGTTTCCCAAATAGCTGCAGTTCAGAGCTGTGCATGAATTTCATGTCCTTGAACTGGTGGTGCAGTCCCAAACATCCAAAGTCACTGGCACAAGGCAGTGTGGAGAGATGCAACGGGAGATTCTTTTCTCACTCTGCATCAGGAGCTTTGTAGTGATTTGATCTATAGTGATCTCACCACTCAGGTCAACATTGATCAAAATCAGAGCCTGGTTTCCTGACAGATTTAATTCATTTCCTGAAGTCTTCCCATGGCAGCCTCAGGCAGGTTTTACACCTTTTTTAAGTACCAGAGGTAACCAGGGCCCTATTTCTCTGTTGCTCAGATGGACACTCACATTTCATCTCTGGTGAGCAGAGATTTAACCAGTTCATGCAGAAACTGGGAAAGAAACCCAACAGCAAGAATCTTGATCTAAATAATTGCACATTAAGTGAAGAAGATGTAACAGAACTGGGTAAATAAACATTTTATTCAACTAATCACTTCACACCCTTCTTTAACTCTTATCTGCCTGTTCAGTTATTCACTCTTCTCTTTTCCTTCCCCTTTCTTTCATACAGACCTGGCTTTTTTTGACATTTTATCTAGTGGTCCCAGAGAAATATTAATTAATAAATTATATAAATTATGTAATATATATAAATATAAAAATCATACAGGTTGTGAAGCAGATGAATGTCCTTACACTCAAACTACAGATAAGAAAACTGAGGTACAAATTGTCATGGCTTTATAATGCTTTATTGGAACAGAAAACACCTTAGTATTAATATATGTTGACATCCAGAGGGTGCAGAAACATGCAAATATGCCTTTTCTTTTCTTTCCTTGCAGCTTCTTTACTGCCATTTCTCCCAGAGCTGGAAGAGATCAGCCTGTCCTGGAATGGTTGTGTTGGTGGGACTTTGAAAGCTCTCACTGTCCATCTTCATCATGTGAACCTGTTAAAAGTCCTTCGACTTAACAACTGCAGGCTGACAGCTGAGGATGTCATCTCCTTAGGTACAGGATTTCATTTACATTTACTTCCAGACAGCTTGGGGCTAATGTAATCCATCTCATCTCTTCCTACATCCCACTCCTGCTGCTTCCACACTGGGCAATGTCAGCTCCTGCTGTGAAACAGTAGAAACTTGGGCTTACGGGTGACCTTATACCCTTAGGTACCTCTGCCCAGTTCGTTCCTCAGGGTGTGAAGCTTTCACACTCAGAAGGGAACAGTTTCAATCTTGTTTGCAAGAAAGCATGTTTGCAACTTAGATCAGTATTTTTTGGCTAGCTGTGATATCTAATGGTAGATAGAAGACCTGAAGCAGAGTCAGTCAGAGTAGGGTCAGCTCAGGTCTTCAAGCTGCAGGACAGATGAGTGCTCATCACAAAAACCCCAGTGGTCTTTTGGAGGAGAAAAAACAGAAGTGCTGCCTCAGAACTTCATGACTTGGGTTTTTTGCAAGTCTGAGAGAAGCCCACCCCTCTGCTTATTTCTTTCCTTGGAGTGCCTGCACCCTGCTTTCTACAAGACATGAGATTTAAAGGTTATAAAGATGGTATTACACACTCAGGTTCTGACACTGAGTCACCTCTGGGCCTGGAGTTTGCTCTGGGGTGGATCTGTGGTTTGTATCTAAAAGAAGGACAAACTCAATCAACTATGGATTATAAAAGTTACTGTTTATTTTGCAGGTTCTAAAACTGGTCTGAGTTTAAAAGCTGGTGTTTGTTTATGTCATTCATATCCAAGCCTTTTCCAAGAAAGGTTCAGAAATAAGATTACATATATGTTGGTAGCTCAAAAGCAGGTCATGCTATCTGCTGGGGAGGAAAAATGCATTTCTCCAAAAGCTGGTGAAAATAATTGTTCTATTTCTGATGAGGGTAAAATCTGTGTTTTATTTTCTATTATTTTTTCAAATTAAGTTAATTCTTTTTCAAACCCTTTTCTCATACTTTTTTTTTCCTTTTGAGTTTTATTTGCTATATTTCCAATTGATTTATTCTGCAGGGTTCTGTGCTGTTTCCTTCCCATATCTGTTTATCCTCTGCTGAGACAAACACAAAACTGATCACAGGACTTGAATTTCCAGTCCAAATGTGATGCCCTTGGTGTGGGGAATGACAACAGTCAGTTTGCATTGATTTTGCCTGCGATTTTGAAAATAACTCGTGTATTTAGGCCAATATTGACTGTTTGACCTTGTCCACATCTATCTGAGGAAATGTGACCTCTTGTGGATTCAGTGCATTCTGCTTAGAAATCAGTGTCTCAAATGTAACCATAATAACCTCTCCTGTGAGATTGCTCAGAGTTGTGGCTGTGTGAGGTGATAGGAAACCATTCCTGGAGTTATGGTCCTTTATTTATCTTCTGGGTGGAAAGTGTGTTTGGAATGCTTGTCCTAATGTCAAGCAGAAACAGGCTGTGCTGCACTTCTCAACTGTACAGTTTATTCAGTATTCAAGACTGAGGCAATAATTTAAAATAAATGCAAAAATAAAAATTAAGTCAAATCCTTTTCTCTCAAACCTAGATATTCACTTACAGAAATAATTATTTTTCTATTATAAATCTTTTGTGAAGAATTAATTATGAAAACACAGTGACATGAAAGGGTATTACTATTAAAATACAGTTCTCAATTATTAGGTTGATGACAAGACTTTAGATCAAAAATTTTTGTGGGACACTTTGAAATTGCATTTGCATATGGTCTGATTAATTGATCTTTCTTGGGAATGAGTATATGCAAATATGCATCTGCCTCCCTCCTCTGCAAAGGAAGTTAGGAAGCTGGATTTTATAGTGGGATGTTAGTGTTTCAAAGAAGCACAGATCATGCTGGCAGATGCTTCAAGCCTGGAAAAGGCTGATTTTTCTGAATGTAATCAAGGTCAGTGCTGTCTGCCTTGAAATCATGGGAAAGTTAGTTCAAGTCAAAACAGTGATCATCTTGCTTTCTTATGAAGTGAGTCAGAAACTCCTGTCAGACATGAAACTTTCACATTTCAGAAATAGTAGTGTGAGGAATTCTTCCCTCCCCTCTGAAGTGACCTGTGGACACAGCACAGAGAATGTTGGAAGTTTGCCAAATAAAACACAGCAGAACTGTACAGGACAGTAAATTCAGACTTGTCACTTGTATTGATTTCCCTCTAGACTGGACCTTTTGGGTCCTGGCACAGGTCTACAATGACGTCCAACAGCCTGATGAGAGTTTGGGAATGTGAATAAATTTCAGGTCTTGTGTGTACTGTGACAGTGACTTGTGATCTACAATGCTCCTTAGACAACGTGAGATTTTATACAACTTTGCTGCAGGAGCAACAATTCATTCAACAATTTTCCTGGCAAGACATTCAAAATAAAGTAATTTGAGAATTAAGTGGCTAACCTTACTCTTTAATATATTTCAAACCTGTATTTTTGTTTGTACTGAAATTGATACCTAGAACGAATCATCCCATATTTCTGTTACAGGAGAGGCATTTGAAATTGTTTCTCAGCTTGAAGAACTGGATTTGTCATGGAACAGTAACATAGGTGGAAGACTATCGCTGCTGACAAAAAAATTCCAGAAAGGATGCAAGTTAAAATGTCTGAAAATTACAGACTGTAACCTGACGGCAAAGGATGGGGAATCCCTTGGTATGTGTGTCCATCTAGCTGGACTGAGACTGGCTTCACAAGAATGGAGCTTGTTTGACTTAGTTTGATGGCTGTATGGGGCTCAGTACTGGTGGAAAGTTAATTTATTGCAAGCTTTGCATTATATCAGTATTTACAACACAATATGGGGATTTAATGCACTTTCTTCCAAAGAAGAAAGTTTTTTTTCTCTAATTATGTGAGGGAATGTTGAGGAGAACAATTAGATCTAAACCACAGGCTGGCAGTCTCCGTGGACCAGATCCTCCGTGCTGGATCCTTCGAGACCTTGAGCAAAAGAAGTGCGCCAGAATTTCCAGCACTGATTGCTGGTTCCCATGGGATGGGAAAAAAAGCCTGAGAGCTGGGAATTTAGGCTGAGCTGGCAACCACTGACCACTCCTCCCATCTGTCTCTCACCACAGTTTAGTCCTGTGTGGTCTTTTTATCTGAGTTTGTGTTTTCAAAGGTGTTTTCTCTGTAAAGAGAAGCCTTTGTGCTCTCATCTCCACTGCAGGAGGAGGCCCACATGTAACATACAATCCTCTGTATTTTCTCTTTGTATTTCTGCTTTTTATTCCCCTGTATTTTTATAACTGTCCATGTACTTTCTCACCTTTATTTTTATACAGATTTTTCACTGATTTTTCTTGATTCCTCTCCAGTCTTTATTTTGCTGTATTTTGGAGGTAGAACAGGAACTTAGCAAGCCTAAACTATATGTACAGGCAAACCCAGCCCACTTCTTTCTGTCATGGTGCTGTATTTTTCTAGGGTTCATCTGTATGTACTCCAGACAATTACCAATTCTGGTTTTCCTTTCTTTTTTCTTTTTTTCCCCAGCCGAATTTCTACATGTGATCCCAAACCTCGAAGTGTTAGATCTCTCTATCAACAAACACATCGGCTGCAGCATGAAGGTTATGGCTCAGGATCTGAAAAACGTGCCAGGCTTGAAAGAGTTAAACTTGCACATGTGTGGATTAAAGCAAGACAGCCTCCAGGGCTTAGGTTAGACTTTATGTTCAGAAAGACTTTCATTCTGAATAAACTGTACATCTGAAAGCCATTTAGGAAAGGCAATGAGGTGGGATTTTGCTGATGTTTTGGCAGCATTAATGGGCAGTAGTTATTTGCTGTTTGAGGATTGATAAAAGACTACAGAGGCTTTCAGCAGGAGTCACATTTATCTGCCCTGAGCTCAAGCATGTGAAAGTCAACGGGGAGAGTCACCCTCCACACCATTTATCTGAGACACATCTCAGGGTTGATTAGTGGCTCCCTGGACATGCTTCCTCTTTCCCCAAACAGAACATAGACAAGGACACAGACAGGGCAGCTCACTTTTAACAAGCTAATCCTACTCTCCCAGGGAAATCCAAATTCACCATTATCACTTAGAGACTGCCCAGTGAAGCCATATGAAATGGGCTTCTTATCTATGTCTCTCCCTAGTGGATGTCTCATGGATAAGGCAAAACAACTGGCATTAATTAGCACATCCATCAGCAGTTCCTGCAAAAGGCTGAGGATTGAATGGATTTGGGGGATGAGCTGGCCTCACCTTCACCTGCTCCTTCAGAGAGGAATGGAGCTGCATGGATGGGGAAGCTTTGCTGTATTACTGTATGTCTGCTGTGATTACACTCTGAAGCTTAGTCTAAGAGCTTTGCCTGCAATACCTTGTGCAAACTTTGATGCTGAAGTAAATAAATGCCCAAGCTGTGACCTGGGCTGTTGTAGCAGCCTGTGACCAGCTTGCCCCCTCTCCCATTTCAGACACTGCTTTGCAGCACCTCACAGAGCTGAGGAAATTAGACATATCGTGTAACAGAGAGATTGGTGGTGGCTTTAAAGACTCAACAGCTCATTTGGCCAGCTTGAAAAATCTGGAAGTCCTTGATCTTCACCAGTGCTGTGTCACAGAAGAGGACATGACTGTTTTGTGTAAGGACGTGTTGAGGAAATTCATTAAGAATCCAGGTTTTGTCTTCTGAAAATATCTCAAAGATGTAAGGAATTCATCTGTAATGGCAGAATAGCTGATCTCAGTACTTTTTTCATTAGGCAGTTCTGGAAGTGCAGTGTAGGGAAATAGCTTTCTTGATCAATATGGAGTGGTATCTTTGCTGAACCAAAGGAAATCTCAGAGTGTCTGATCCCACGTGGAATTAAGGACCTGAATCCACCATAATTCAGACCCACAATGGGAATGTAGGAACTGCCTCTAAGCACTGTTTTTTTTGATAATCAGTAATTTTGGAAATACCCAGGGACAGTTCCTCCACTGCTATGAATTAGATAGATCCAAGGTGTGTATGTGCATGGAAATGTAGCAGCCTAAAACTCTCCTGGTGACGTGCACACCGAGTAGAGAATGATTTTAGGAGCTCTTGCATTGCTGCTGCTGTGGCTTTCTCCAGGTTGAATTGATCCAACTATAAGTGCTCTTGGGAAGAAAAAGGCATTTCCCAATCAATTTGTAAAACAGTTTATTTTTCTGTTTGCATTATCATAACTTTTTGACATTTGTTTTTACCTTTAACAACAACAAAATGCCATGACTCAAAATCTATATTTGAAAAGTTGCCTATCATGATTTATTTTTAATTTATTGAATAATAGATAATAATATTAATATTAAGATGAAGTTTCAGTTAGCAATGAAGACATTTGGAAATAATCCCCATCTCATTTAATGTTTAATTAATGTTTCTTCATCAGAAAATTTCCTGGAAGCCACGTTCTGACAACCTTCCACACAGTATGGAATACCTAATTTCTTGAACATTCTTACTGAAAATGACAAGGCTGTTTATGGACTAAAACATTACTCACCACGAATTTGAGTGTAAAAACTTGGCCTTGACTTTGGATTGACTTACAAAGAAAAGAAATTATACCAGGCAAATATACAACTACACATTTGTTGTGGATAGGTGACTGTCTAATAAATATTTGATGTTTTCATAGCCCAGGTGATACCTTTACTCTCCAGTCTTCAAGAGCTGAATTTATCCTCGAATAAAAGTGTAGGAGTCTCATCTGATCCTCTTCTGGGCCGGCTCAGGTTTTTGCCAAAGCTGAAATGTGTGGCCATCAGCAACTGTGGTTTAGGTGAAGAGTCGCTTTCATCACTAGGTAGGAATGTTCTTTAAAGTGTGTCTATTCTCTGGGTATCCCTGTGGGACAAAGCACTTCATCCTCCTTTGGCTGAACTCCAAGGATCATGGTTACATTGTACCACAGGTCCAGAGGGAAAAAGCCTGTGGTCAAACCAGTTCCCCCTCTATATCTGACTGGCTGAAGCCCTTTTAGTCCTTTGTCTGATAGTGAGCTTTTATATATTGCCTGATTTGGGAGGATAAAGGAACACATGATTTGATGTTATGCTGTAATTATAGTTGAGATGTAACACTTCATTTGCAGTTTAGTGGGGTAAAGTTTTGACTGAGGGTTTTTCACCTCACTGAAGGTGAAAGCTTCAGTAGAAACTTTCTGGGGTAGAGTGAAGCCTGGGGCAAAAGAGGAAATTACTGAAGGAGTGGAAAAGATATTGCACAGCCATAAAGAAAAGTCCAGTCTAACACAGGATATGTAAAGTCAGCCTCTTTTGCCTACTTATTGCAAATCTCAGTGGATTGGTGGCTACACTGTGCCTGTGATAGGTGTTCCATATGGCACATGAAATCTAAATACAGAGGGATCTCTCAGTTACTGTGTATGGTTCACTTATATTTTGTACTGTTTACTACTGACATTAAACCTGTAGTAAGGCTTGACTGCCTCCAGCAGAAGCAGAGGGAATCAAAACTGGTCTGAGGTCCCTGCAGGAGGAGTACTATATTTATATCATTACAATTATGTAAGAGTGGCACCATAGAAATCAGTGTTGTCAGAAGATACAGAGCATTTCACCTTAAATAGTGGGTTTGCAGAAAAAAACCCAAACTGTCTTTGAATTAATATAAAATGATTTAAAAGCAAGCTGTTAAATTATATTAATTCAGTGGGACAAGGACAAGCCAATAACATGAATAGAAACACAATAAACCCCTCCATAGATTCCGTGTAGAATCTATAGGGAGGCCTTTCTTATTTTCTTTTGTCTGACTTTTATCAGGATAAAAGAAGTCACTCTAAGCACAGGCTGTTGGGATCCTATTTACAGGTGAATTGCAGGTGAGGTGTCTGTTGAGGCCGTGTTGTTTTCTCTTAGTAAGCAGAAGTTGCTGGTCTTAATCTTTTCAGCTGAGGCTGCCCTTCACCTTCCTGAACTGGAGATATTAGACCTTTCTTGGAATAAGTGCGTTGGTGGGAACCTAAAGCTGCTTTTGGGAGCACTAAAGCTTGCAGTGGAGATTCAAGTGTTAAGACTGAGCAGCTGTAACTTGGTGGCTGAAGATTTGGCACTTCTAAGTACGTATAACACGGTATTTACCTGCAGTCCAGGCATTTAGACCACAATTCAGGAGGGACTTGTTCCTTGGGCTGAGCACGTTTTCACATAAATCAAAGGAAAAGATGGAAAACACAGCAGTATTTTCCCAGAAAGGGTTGTCATCTTGTACGTCCTGTACATGTTCAGTGCAAAAGCTGAAAAGGATAAAATACAAAGAATATTTTAGCACTTTTATCTATTAATAAAAAAACCCCACCAAACACAGAAAATGTAGGTTTAAATCTCTTTTTTTTTTATATCAGATATTTAAAGATGCCTCTGGGGAGTTTTATTTTGCTCAATTTCTGTTTTAGGGTTCACTACTTTATAGAAAATGTATGTGCTGACAGCCAGTAATACAGGCACTACCAGCTCTCAATCCATTAGGTGTGTTCTGGAGTCAGACTACTGGGGGAGAATTAAAACAGAAATATTTTTACCCACCTCTTAGCAGCTGCTGGGAAATACAGGAAAATGGGAACATGATAAAGGAATGAATTCTAGGATTCTTTTAAAAACTTGTTCATTTTATGCTCATCTTTGTGTTCTGTGGCCCTGACTCAGGGGTTTGAGTGTCTGAGAATGGCAGTAGCTGTGTGACAGCTATTAAGGCCCTGGAGTGTGAAATCTGGTGAGGTGAAGCCTGAATATTTTTGACTTTAAAAACCATCACCCTTGATGGGTGTCTCCTGTACCAATCACACGTTAAGGACTCCAGTTCCCTTTAGGGTATATTAGGCCCTCCCACAGTGAGAGGTTGCTATTGCAGCAATCCAACCTCATCTAGTTTTGCTTTCCTCTTCCCAAATCTCCCTGTAAAACCCGTCTGCCTATTTTAATTGGCACTTGGTATAACCTCCCTCCAACTGACTCCAGGGTTTTCAGGGTGCCATACCCTTTTAACTCAGTAGTTCCACTCCTTTTGAATTACCCATGTTTAAAGTGGTGTACACTCCTTCAGCTGTGAAAAAAACGGTCTTTCTGAGATCAGCAGCAAGTCATTTTATGTTGCTGAGGAGCTAAACCTTGCTGTTTGACTGCTTGAAAGCCTTAAATAATAAGGTATTAAAATACTACTCTCCTTTCTGAGGAGCTTTTAAAGCAACTGCCAGGATTTATTAGTTGTGTTTGTGTCTATCATCTCTTGCAGCATCACTGGCACAGGATGGCCACCTCTCCAGGTTGCAGAAGCTGGATTTGAGTTACAATGACAGCATCTCTGATGAAGGGTGGGCTGTTTTCTGTCGAGGTTTAGCAGTATCCAAGGAACTCTCGGAGCTGGATCTCAGCCTCCGCCCGTCGTCCTGCCGAGACTGCGGGATGTGGTTCAGTGAGTTGTTGGCAGCACTGGCACAGCTCCCAGCCCTGGCAGAGCTGGGCATGCAGAGATGGGTCCTTTCAGAACCCCAGAGGAAACAACTGGAAAACTTTAATCACGACAACAAAAGAAATATTCGCTTTGACTGTTGATGGAGGCGGAAGGTTTCTGGGAGGCCTTTCACGAGCAGCACATGGACCAAGTATTATGTGTCTCTCACTTAGGAGACCACACAGTTTTTAATAATCTCTTGAAATAGTTTCACAGTTATAGAAAACTGTTATTTAACCCCCTGCATCATAGATAATTCCATTTAATAACCTATTCTTTGAGATTCTCTGGGCCATGCTTACACCGCTACAGACACTCAATCTTCACGGTGCACTGGGTACTGCCCAAAGAGCAGTGCTGGACTCAGATGGACACACTGCAGGTTTGCCAGGGAAGTGGAGGGGATGTGTGTTAATGAGGGTGGGTGGGCAGTGTGAATGTGGCCTCAGAAAATTCCTCTAATGTGAAAATACTTGAAACCTCTGTGTTTTAAATTTTAGTTTCTTCTCCCCCAAAACTTTTGCCTCTTTGTGAATAAATTAAATCTACATAATTGGGAGATTTGGAAACCATCCCAACAACTCAACATTATATATTACTCCAGTAAGGAGAATACAGGAGGAGCTGTTTTGCCTCTGCTCTGGTCCCTGATGCCATCTCATAGTGTAGATGAGTCCTGTGTACAGAATCAACATAAAATCAAGGTAAGAAACAGTTGTTCAGTGTCTTTGCAGGTCTCAGGCACAAGGGAAATGCTGTGGTACACTAAATCAGAGATATGTCCTGCTACCTTAGCAGGATTTTGGACACATAATCAATACATAATCATTCTGGCTAAGACTATGTAAAAATTTCAGGATACTTGAGGGATGTTCCTTCTCATCTTGAGCTGTTTCAGGCTTACCCAGACTAAGCTTTTGGAACAGACCATTTTATGACATGCAGCACAAAACCAAAATTCCATGTCTAAGAGACTGATCTAGAGCATATGAAAGCCAGTGGGAGTTCCTGCAGTGTCTTCATGCTTCCTGCATTCAGGATTCATCCATCAACCTTCACACCACCTTGTGACATAATGTTCTTATCCTTACCCTAGAGATGAAGGAAATAAGCAAAGTCTATTATTCCAAGCCATAGGGCAGCTTCCAGGGAGAACCCAACACCCTGCTCAGTGCCCAAGACTTGTTAGAAAAAGCACCAGCTTGGGATGTGTAACCAGCTCCTTTTTAATGTGATAATTACTTTTTTTTTTTTTTTTTTTTTTTACATTTTATTGCATTTTCTTACACAGAGCCAAATTCTGGCAGAGTCAGTTGTGTCATGGAGCATGTTAACCCACACGTGAGCTCCAGGACTGCAGTGGGATTATTCATCGGTAAGGTATTTTAGGAAGTAAAGATATTAGATCTGCCCACTGAGTGAGGAGTCTTAGAGAAATCCTGAGGCAGCTTGAGGGATAAAGTTCTGATCAATTAGCTCTGAGTATCTCTACATGCTGCAGCAACCTCCTGGAGGAGAGGCACAACAGGATCAGTCAGTGGCACTTTCCTAACTTGCCAAGGCCCCTCTCAGCAGGTTCTGTCCTGCAGATTCTGATCAGTATTCACCTTTCAGTCCACGTGATCCTTCCAACATCAGCTTCTGGCTGGTCAGGGCTATCACCAGCAGCTGACAATGCTGTGCTGATGCCTATTGATCATTTAATCCATGTGAAAGTCTCCCTGGATCCGGTTCCACTTGAAAAGTGCACTTGGCTTCCCCAGCTCTGAAAATGTGAGTTGAACTGGAGTGTTTTGGTCAGAGGCAGCAGGGAATTGCTGCAGTGTGGGATCAGTTACTTCCTACACAGACCCTCAGCCTCTGAAATGAACCAAAGAGCCCCTCTTTCTTACAGGGTTGATGAGAGGTTTTCAAGCAGTGGCTTAAGACAGGACATGTGGAAGTACCATCATCTCTGTTTAACAGCAGCACACCAACCATTTCTCTTAATTACTTGCCTTCCTGTAACTTTCCTCCTCAAATATAAGGAAATTGATCCTTTATCTGTTCTGTGAGGATGTCTCTTAATCACTCCTTTCCCACTTGAACCTCTCTCTCCAATTAATCTTTAACATCCAGATTCTGTTGAAATCTTCCTGGACTTCAGTGTTGGGGTTTCTTACTCTGCCATAGCTGGGTTCTCAGCTCCAGAGCACGTTATGGACCCATTGCAGCAAACCCTCCCCTGTTCCTGAACCCCTGCTCAGTCCTTTACCCTCTCATGATTCTGCCATACCTATTGTGCCACTAAAAAGCTTTTATTCCTTTTATCACCTCTATTAAATGTCCTATCTATCTGCCAGTCTTCCCAGAATTCTCTCTTCCAGTGATTTTCTCTAAATTATCCTTCTCTCTGTTCCTCTTTGCCTTCACTTAGGGTGAAAAAATTTCACCAGACATCTCCAAACAATCAAAGCAGCCTCAATCAAAGCAGTGAAATGGAAAATCAGAACAGAGCCGTCCCACTTTCCTGCAGTTCCAGCTCTCTCCTGCCAACAAGCATATTAATGAGATTTCAGTATCAATCAAAAGCCAAACAGAAATTAGTTCCATACCCTGGATGCAGATTCAGAGAGATGCAACTCTAGGAAGAGCTGGTCTCAGTGATCTGCCTTCACCACCTCCTTCAGGATGCACAACCTTCCCTGAGGCAACTCAAACAAGGGGAGGGAGAGCAGGACTGCAGTTCTGACCAGCTAGTTAAACTAAATAAAGGGTTCTGGTCCCACCCACTCTGCATTTTGAACCTGCACAGTGGCAGGTCCCACACAGCTCTGTGCTCTGTATATGCTGCAAATAAAACTCTGGAGGGGGTTAAGGAGTAACCGAGTAACACAGAATAAAAACTAGACAAGGACATCAGATGTCTGGGACAAACAGCTCTCTGTAAAGTGCTGTGGAAAGATGTGGTTGCAGATAAATTTGGCATGCAAGAATTATAGCGAGGAGTGTTTGTCATGGTTCTTTTGAATAACAAAGATGTTATGATGTGCCAGAACCAAAATCATGGTAGAATCTTGTATCCTGCAGACTCACTGCTTTCATATAAATCTGTCACACACAGGCATTTCACAAACTGTCACCGAGCCATCTCGGGGAAGAGATGCACCACTGAGGATGTGACAGCTTGCAGTCATTCAAAGTGCTGTGACTGCAGATTGTCAAAACAGCAGTGAACAGTTTTGCAAAAGTGTGGAGATACTTTCAAAACAGCTTTTTACACCTCTGTAAGGATGGTAATGCAAGTTCTGGTAGAAGTGTGTGTGTTCTGACTGCCTGGAATCCTACTCTGTATTTCCAAACGAGGAACTGATCATTTCTAGAGAAAAACTCATTAAACAACTGCTGGTAGGTGGGGCCACAGATTTTTTCACTGTAAATATGTTTGTACCTCACTGACTGGCAAACAGATTTCTAAGAATTGCAAGTGAAATACTTTGGGATTCAGAACAAATAACACTTCATTGCACCAGATTCCTACAGGTTAGATTGATTTACAGATTAGATTAATTTCCACCTAATCATCTACCTTTATGATTAGAGATAACATGCATTCATAATGAGGCATATCAAGAACATTTCTGAGATTTCCTGGTTCAGCTGGGGTCAATGTGGACAAAAACACAAAACCAAACCTAAAAAAATTAATTAGTTTTCATTGTCACAGTCACTGATTCAGATGCTTTAATAGTGCTTGTCTCCCACTTGCTTATTTCTGCTCGAATTTGTCCATCTTGTAAAAGAAAAGAGTTCTGTGCAGTTTACTGCCCAAGTTTCACTTTTTTTATGGGCTTCTCTTTTTCTTTTCTTTTTCCTTTCTTTCTTTTCCTTCTTTCTCTCTCTCCCTTTATCTTTTTTTTATTAAATTATTAAGCATCAAGAAAGTTCCAATCCCTTTCTGGTTCATCAACCCACACCACAAACTTTGGATCTGAAAAAGAGAGAACAGTCTTGTTACCTGGAGGAAAAGGGTAAAAGCAAAAAGCCTTGTGGAATGATGTCACTGATGTATATTCATGGTACAAAAAGCATTTTGTTCTTCAAAATCCCCTTTTATTCTGGATTAGGCTACATTATTGGCAGCTAAGATGAACTGTCAGTCATCTGATTTTTCTCTTATTCTCTGTTTTATGTTTTTCAAGAGGAATTTCTTACCTAGGCGGACACTAGTTCCCCATACCTTTGATTAGAAAAGTAAATGACAACGTCTACACATCTTTAAATGTCAATTTTTAGTTTGGAAGAATAGTTTGGGAAAAATAGCAGCTCATGAAGAAGTTACAGAATTACAGAAAGAGAGGAATAATTTAGGTTTAAAAGAATCAAAGACTGAGGAATCACCTTTCCTTCCTTCTTGCCCTGTATTTTTTTTAATTCCATGTGACCCACTGATGATACAGAGCAATGTTCTTTTGGAAAAAGAAAAACAAGAAACCAAACATAAAATCACACAAAGAAAAGTGTCTTGTTCAATATGTTTGCACAATGGATTTGCAAGTATCAATGAGCTGATGGCTGTGGGCAGGTACTGCAGACAATTATTCTCCATATGCAGTTCCTTCAGATTCTGGAAAATATGTGTGCAGAAGGTTTAGTAAGTAAAGGATTTTTCCTTAGCTTGGTATATAAACAATGCACAGAGAATATTAGCAAGTGCAGAAGTTTATAAACTGTGAAATTGTTGGGATTATTGATAAACACAGAGAGGCAACATGAGTTTTAAACACTGATTTCTGATATTATTCCTATTCTGACAGCCCAGGCCTGGTGCTGCACCATGTACCTAAAGAGATTAGGAGACCCTTCAGTCCTGCATTTGGAAGCGGCTGAAGTTCATGGAATTTCCATGTTGCAGCAAACCAAGATCTTCCCCCTTCTATTGCTCCTGCCTGCAATTTACTGATGTCTTCTGGTAGACTTCTGAATTTAATTCCTTTATCTTGTCCCAGTTATAATCTCTGTAATGACTCCAGGAGAAAGACTACCTCTGGAAAGATACTGAATTGGTTTTCAGGCAGGCTAAGGCATTTAAAACTTATCAGTTCCTTCACCTCTAGAGGTATCTAGACACAGTCATTAAAAAGATACATTATGTCAATTAAACAGTAATCTTTGGGATTTAGTTTTTAGAGGAAAAAATCTCCCAAGAAAATGCTGTGGAGCTGCATTATGGTTGATGGATGAACACAGAATATTCTGCTCATTAATGTCACATTATACCTCACAGTGTGGTGGAAATTTTGGCAAAGAAATCCATGTTGTTTCCTCTGCTGGAAAGATTTCTTATGGGGTTAATTTTATTTCTTAGCAGAAACATTAGTCTGCTTCTTCATTTCCTTTGTGTGCACAGTGCAGGGAAGAGCAATTTAAATGAATGAAATCTGAAAGTGAGTCTTTTGCATAAATTACTACTTTGGTAAATGTAAGTTTCAAGAAGAAAATTGCACCAGTGAAAAAGTCCTTCTAAAAGAAGTGTTGCATTGTATAAAAAGGAAGGTGTATTCTGAGCCCTACAATGGGGATGTCCATGAATACTGTTACACTTATCATGGCACAGCTTTAGGGTGCATAATTGTTCATGATAAATGAATAGCAAGTGTCAGTAGAGTTAAAGGCATTAATAATATCACATACATTTTTAAATTGCCCTCTGCTCAGTTTGTGATATTGATTCTATGCAAATGCAGCTCTGATTTTCTAGTGCACATAGAAAAAAAAAAAAAGAAAAAATATACAAAAAGCTGCAGCAGTCCCTCCAGTCTGTATCATCTTTTGATTCAACACAACGGTCAGGGTTTCCACATTTTTGCCTTTTCCTCCCTGCCTGCCTGCTGAGATGTCAGTGATAATGAGTAACCCAGGCTCAGGTGTGGAACTGCCTTCTCACCGTAGGAAGGAAAGGAGGCACTTGGAATGCTATTAAAGCAGTTTTCACTCAGATCTAGTACCCTGACACTGGTTAATCTGGTGAAGGACCCAGGTACAATGTGCAGTCCCACAAAAACTTGGGAAAGGGAAGGCCAGCAGCAGATGCGGTGTGGGAGATCCTCCAGGCTGCTCAGACAGTGAGCACTCTGATTTCAGGGAGGATCCTCAAACCTGGGAGAAGCTTTTGGGTGAAGCTGGGCTCCATTCCCCCTACACGGGTCTGCCTCGGGTGGGTGGAGCCCACGCCCTCCTGCTCACATGGCAGTGGTGGAGGCACTGGGGGGATTTATTTGCTGGAAGGGGCCAGCACAGGCATCTTTGAAGTAGGGACTGATCCGTGTAACCACGGGCGGTTCTGCGAAGGCTCCTCGGAGGAGGGCAGAGCACCAACTCCATGCTCTGGGGGTGAGGTGACGAACCTCCCCTGCCCTTCCCGCAGGTCTGAGCGCCACTGGCATAGCCCAGCACCCACAGGGGCTCGGGGGGCTCCTGCAGGGCCCGGGGCTGCACAGAGCAACCCCCGCCCGCCCCTCCGGCTGCGGGCCGGGACCTCCTTGGAAACGGGCTCCGTTACCAAACACTGTTCCCCTCGGAGCAGCCTGGTTACCAAATTTACTCAGCGTGGGGCAGCGCTCGCAGGTTGACGCGGGGAGAAGGAGCAGGAGGCCATGGCTCAGGTAAGGCCTGCGGGGTGGGGGGTTCATCTGCTGGACAGGGACCACTCCTCTGTTGGCTCAGCTCCTGTGCCACAGCAGGTCAGAAACACCCACCAATCCACGCTTTCCCCTCATGCTTTTCCTGCCTGTATGTTACCCCAGTGCTGCATACGGAGAGCTGTAACCCTTTGCAGACCGAGCCCGTTTTTAGTGTTTTGCAGATCCCAGCACAAAGCCCGCTCCTGGTGCTGTCGCTAAGCTGCCATAACGGGGCAGTAACGCTTTGTTTTGTTTTCCGGCAGGAGACGTCGGTTCGCCCAGATCTTCACCTGCACTATGTGCAGGCCTGTCAAAAATCGGGCCAGCCTGAAAACCCCTTCGTTGCTCATGTGCTTCAAGAAGCTGACAAAAAAGATGAAATGTAAGGCAATAACAGCGTGTTTCAGACACTTCTGAAAGCCTTAAACAGGGTAGCAGGATGAGGAATTGAATGATGAGAAAGTTCTGCAGTTTCAGGCTTAAACACAAATCAAATTTAGCATTTACTTCTGAAGTTCTGGTTTGACTCATCTTGACATCATCTTGGCAGAAGTTTGTAGCTATATATCCTTTCTGGGCAGCTTTACAAGCAGGGAAAGAAAAAAAAAAGTAAAAAATGTACAGGATGGTGCCTTTCTGTCCCTTAAAAAAGCCAAGCCCAGTGTCCAGTCATCCTAACTCCCTTCCTTTTGTCTTGCTCCTGTTTAAAAAGCCTCAGCTGCATCCAGTTAGCTTCCAGCTGGTCATGCTTCCCTGAGCTGTCTCTGAATCCTGCCAAGCTATTAACCACCCAAATTCTCTCTCATTATGTGGCTAGGTAGGGCTTTCTCTTGTGGACACTGCTGGGGTCAAAGTTAATTTTCCTTTGGGGGAAAAAAACCCTGAGAAAGTGAAACAGTTTGTGTTAGGTTTTGATCCTGAGAGCAGGATGGAGTAAATAAAGCAAAGGGAACAATTAAAAAGATGATGAGGTAGCCTCTGGGATAATCTTTATTTCCATCTGCCTTCCCCTCATCTTGCTTATTCCTGCTTCCTGTGCAAGTGTGGTTCTTGCAGCTGTGCAGTGCCTTCAGAAAGGGCAGTGCTGAGGGGCAGCTTGAATCATGTTATCTGTGCTGGTGTTACCAAAGGTGTGTAACCATGTGCAAGCTCCTCAGTGAGGGCAAGCACGGCCACACCTCCTGCCTGGAGAGGCAACTCATTTCTCTGTGTCATTTTACTTCTCCTTGTGTGCTTACGTTTTTATGTTGCAGTAGATGTACGAAAGGGATCACATTAAAAATAGCTGGAAATAATCACCCAGTGCCTGTGCAGAAAGTTACAGATGATGATCTTGGAGTTCTTACCTCTGTCTTACGCCACGCTGCATTTGTCAAAGGTAGGGTTTTTCCATGAGTGTTTAACATTGCTGTGCTAATATAAGAAAACATGATCAGTCTTGATTTCAGTCTTAGTTCATCTTTGTTTCTTTTTGTTTAGAGATCAGTTAAATGTAGGTATGCATCTGTCACATTCCTCATTCTTCATCTTTTTCAGGTTTGGATCTTGCTTATAATGTATTGACTGATGCTGGAGCAAAGACCATGGCAACATTCCTCCAGGTGCCAAAGTGATGGTTATCTTTCAGCAACTTGTAATTTATTTGGCCATGGAAATATTTATATGTGGTGTATTGGAGACAAGAATGCACTGGTTTGGCAAAATTCCATTACTTTTGACTTTCACACCCCAATCCATCCTGCTAGAATCTTGGGTTGTATTCTCTGTGGAGATTTTTAATTTCTGGTAGAAAGCCATTAGATATTTGACTAGGGTGTCCTGAGGAAAGAATGGTGGAATAAATTACAAGGCTTTTAGGCTTTCAGTTCAAATAAACAGAGGGGATAATGGTTGTGTCAAGGGCCTTGTTTTAGCTTCTTTATTACCTGTATTAGCCTTTTTGCAGGCCTAAACATAGGAAACTTTAATGCTGTCTTTTTATCATTGTAAACAACTGGAATATAGATGGAAAATGGTGAGTTGTCATCTGGTGCCTCTGTTCCTAGAGCTTGGGGAGTGCCATTAAGTTCACAAAATGCACCTGAGCTTGACCATGTGGCTGGTTTGGTCATGCTGAGCACATGGGATCCTGGGTGGTTCCTGTAGGCCCCATGAGGACCCCCACATGCCTTTCCCTTATTATCTGACATACTCTGGCATTCCTTAACTACTTTTCCAAGTCAAGGGCTGCCTGAAATGCAGCAAAGGACAGAGTTTTGTATGTGTATCCCCTTTCTGAAAAATACAGGTGTGCTCTGGAATAAACTCTGATTGTTTCCTGCTCTGTTTGTTCCCAAGGAGAACTCCTCTCTGCAGTACCTGAACCTCATGTTTAATGATGTTGGCACAAGTGGGGCAGAGCTGATAGCGGGAGCACTTCATGTGAGTGTTTGTCTGGGAGGTTTAGACAGTGGCATCTTGTTGGATATTTTTGCTTTTGATGACCAGTACTGGCTGTCCTGCCAACATCAGAGCTGCCTCAAAGGGGCATCTGTCCTTGCTCCATTCAGCATGTTGCTGTATCACAGGGATGCAGCACAAGGTCTGCCTTGTTTTCCCAAGGCAGACCTCAGAAATCAGATTTCACACAGGTGAAAGTTGCACTGTGCTGCCATTAACACTTAATTATCTATAAAAACAATTGCCTATAAAACCCACAACTATTGCAGTTGGATTTTTTTTTTCTGTGTGAAAAATGCTAAGCTACAGGATATAGAATGCCATCTGTTTCTTCCTTTCTTTTTTTCCCTCAAAAACATTGTATTAAATTTGCCTGTACCTTCATGTCAATATTTGTCTTGATTCAAGATGTCTGAGACATGTTTTCAAAACTTTGCTTTACAGCAGCAGCACAAAACCAAAGTTGTTATTTTTGATGTGGTTTCCCAAGGAAATGAGGCTTGTGTGTAAGATTTGTTGTTTTGTGAAGGAGACTCATGTGAGCTCTTTCTTCCTCCTTCACAGTCTTTGAACCCTTGAACTGATTTCAACTAAATTTGACAAGCCTCCAAAACACTGAGGCTGTGCAGGAGATCTGTACAACACTGGGCTTGTACAATGCTTAACAAGTTTAAATTAGTTTGATACACTTTGCATCTCAGATGCCAGTTTAGGCAGAAATATTTGCCTGGATTATTTTCATGTGAAATTTGTGGACTTGGGAGAAACAAAAGTTTTCAAATACTGGAATTTTGCTTGCAGACTCTCATGTCTTTGTCCTTGGGAGGAGCCTGAGCCAACAGGATAAGTTATCACTTAGTTATCTATGTTGTCACTTTGACACAATTCTTCTCAAAGGTTGTTTTGTCTATGTGTGACAACAAGCAGGATTCACACACAAAAAAGAGTAGTGTTGTTTTTCAGGCTGTTTTAAAGGAATAGATTTTTTTTTTAATTTTATCTAGAGGAATAGAAGTCTTGTGCACATGAGAATGACTGGAAACAAAATAGGAAACCAAGGTGGGATGTTCTTTGCTTCAATGCTGCAAAGTAACTCAACCTTGCAGAAGTTGGATCTTGGAGACTGTGATCTGGTGAGTAACCCAGTAAAATTATCAGCAATGACATAAGTCTTTCAAGGGTATTACATGGATCCTGCAGAGCTTAATTAGGGGGGAATGCCATCTGTTGTCATTGATTTTACATTTTGTGACAGCCAGAGGTGACACAATATATAATACAACAATGTGTGCTTGGAAAGACATGTTGCACAAAGCACCTGGGAAGTCAGAACTGATGATATTCTAGAGCCATTGTGTCCCTGGGGATACAAGTGCTTGTCTCACATCCTCTGACATTTGTTTCTGCTGCTCACTTCTGTTATTCCAATCCTGTGTAATTCATGTTGAAGAATGGACTTTTTATTCCCTGGAGAATCTTTTCCTTCTGAAGTGTGCAGTGCTATAGCACCTGAAAGTCACCCATCCCATAGCTCTGTTGCTCCTCTCAGATCCATAAAGGACATAAGCACAACAGTGCTAAATTGAGTAGAAAAGTACCAAATTTGATCTTGGATGACCTGCTCCCTCCTAGAGCAAGGCACTGAGACTTACACAGTGCACAGGGGGACTCAGGAGGGTTGGAGTGGCCTGTGGATCACTTTTAAAAACCTGTAATTTTTTTCCTGGAAATTCAGAATTTGCTCCTAGACTAGAGGGGGGAATAACCCCTCAGGAATTGTGAAGGTCTTATGAATACATGAACAAGAAAAGTATAGCCAGTGCAGGATTTATTCAAAAGCTTAGTATGTGTGTTCTTGGTAGGGAGTTGATTGAGAGTTGGTTTAAAATTAAGTGGTTTTGGGTGTGGACCAGCCTAATTGGAAAGTAGCATAAGTAAAAATTAGTGAGCAAACCAGAAGGAAATAAAAAAAATCCGAATTGACCCATATTCTAGAGTCTCATTTCTCTGCACCACATGATTTGAATTTACCTAGTGGATGAATGTTAGGAGAACACACATAAGCTGATCTTGTTTTATAAATCAGGAAAACCAAAATACAGGATCAATCAAATGGACAAATTAAATGGATCTTTGAGATCCATTATTCTTGCTTTTTATTTTCTGAGTTGCCAAGTCATTTGTACTATTTAGTCTCATTCCACTCTACTCTTCCCTAGGCAGTTGGCATTGGTATTGTCAGAAAATCTGTTAGGTGTCTCTAAGCAGTTGACTATTGTACTCCAGAGGACAGGGAGGCAGAAATAATAGTCATGGTAATTTGGCAGCTTGAGCTATACATTAAATAGGTTTCTCTAAAGAGTTTATTTGTTTTCATTTCCAGGGCCTGAAGTGTCTGATAGCAATAGCCACAGCCCTGACTCAGAACAAATCCCTCAGAGCAATAAACCTAAATCGTCCCTTACTGTACAGCCAAGAGGTATGTGAGTGACTGTGGTGTCAGCTCAGACAGGAGCATGAGCCAAGTCAGTGCTGATGTATTTATGGACATCTGAACTACACAGCTCTCTGGAATTTCTTGCAAACTGAAGCAAATGGTTGCAGAAATATTCTTTCTCTTTCGGTGCAGTCACCACCTGCCCCTGTTTAACTAGAAAGTTAAATTTTAAAAAATCTCTTTCTTGGTGCATTTGTTAAATGATGGGCTGATGGAGGGAGGTTGGTATTGGAGAACAAAGTATTCCTTCTGCTGTTCCAGCATGGAGTTTCCTGCATTGCTCAGCAAACTGAGAGAGAAATGCTGTTTAGCAGGAAATGAGGGGAAGCACAAAGGGCTGCTGTTTACCTGAATCTAAAGAAGAAAGACACACTGCAGCAACCCCCCACCTTCCCTGGGCTGGGGGCTTTGGCTGTTTCACTGTGTGTGGCTGGTGCTGCTCAGCTCGTGGCTGTAGAGTGAGGGCTGTGGTGGATTCACCTGCCTGGCAGAAGTTCCCAGGTGTCAGTGATAGGAACAGTGTTTTCCTGATTGCACGAAGGCCAGATCTTCCTCAGTTCCCTAAGGTGAATTTAACAGTTTAAAGAGATTTTAGTTGTTTCTTTTCTACTAAGACAGCTTTAGAAGTCAATTTAAACTACTACTATTGAAAACAGAGGCCAGTAAAGACCTGGTCTGGATATGTCAGAGACTATTGCCACTGTTTCCACCTTCAACTCTATTATTTTCTGAGGCCTCTGGGTTGTTCCCTTATTTTTGACTCGCAGTACTCACTGTTATTTTGTTAACTAAACATGCCAACTTGAGAACAAACTTTCTTTGTCTTACAGTGACAGGACATATTTTTTCCCACAGCAGTCCTGTTTCCTTTTCATAAAACCACAGGATCATTAATGTTGGAAAAAACCAGCAGGATCATTGAGTACAAACTTTGACCAATTCTTTCTCTTATGAAAGCATAGATTAGCATCATGACAAAATACTTTCAATGTTAGCAAAGACTGACTCAAACATTCAGGTTTTTAAGAGCAATGACTGGAAGGAAAACTGATCAGACATAATGACTAAATGTTGGTGCTTCTGATATTTGCAGGGATGTAGATAGTACTCTAAATCTGCAAATATATTTCTAGTATTTTTCTTTTTTTTTTTTTTTCCCCATCTTCAGCCTTATCACAAGATGTTGTTTCATGGCTATTTTTATACAATATAAAAAATAGAACACTACTGTTAACCAAATCTTGATGTTAGTTATGTATCTCACTTGTACTGAAGCAAGACCATGCCTTATCCTAAAGTTCAGCTTGGTAAAACTGAGTGTGTGTTTGTAGGAAGAGACCACAGTCCATATAGCTAAGATGTTGAAGGGCAACTCTTCTCTCGTGGAGCTGCACTTGAGCAAGCATGAAATGAAAAACTTTGGTGTAGAGCGTCTGTGTGAGGCCCTGTATGAAAACTCCAGCCTGAGATACCTTGACCTCAGCTGGTAAGAGTCATTAAGTGACATATCCATGACTAACAGAAATTAATTTTCTTAGCACCTTTTTTTTTTTTTTAAAATATGTGCATCTCCCTTTCAGTAATAAAATAACCTCTGATGGTGTAAAATTTTTGGGAGAGCTGCTAAAACGGAACCAAAGCCTGGTAATCCTGGATCTGAATGCCAACAGAATAGAAGATGTTGGAGCCACGTACCTGAGTGAAGCCTTGTCTGTGCACAACAGGACTCTGCAGGCGTTAGTATCTGCACAGCTTCCCCAGAGACTGCAGGTGTAGGGAACCTGGACTTGGCAGTGGCAGAACTGGCATCAAAGCTGTGTGCTTTGATGTTGATCAAAATAGGAAAGTCAGGAAGTTCCAAATGTTTTGGTCTATTTTTCCTTCTTGGGAAAAGAAACCTGCGAGTGAGAGACTGGGTGGGATTTCTTTGCTAAGCTGCCAGGTGAGATGCCCCAAGACCTGTGGGACCTCCTGGGGTGCTGGGGGTGAGCCCCAGGTCTGCTCAGATCTCCCACAGCTTTTCCAGTCGCTCTAAGAGGTGTGTGGGGGGAAGGCAATTAGATCTGTCAGTTCTTTCTGCATCTTTAAAGAGCAGGTCCCTGGGGGGCACAAACGAAAACAAGAGCTGCAGGCCTTCAGAATTCTGAGATAATCAGATTCCATGCAGGGATAAGGCACTATATTTGTTGATTCTGATCTTCAACACTTAGGAAAATCCTCTATTTAAGTTTGCTTCCGGGTGAACCCAGCAGAGCTGTAATCTCTCCACCAGGCCGTCTTTTGCAGCCGCCTTAAACCCTCTCGGGCAGGATGTAAAAGCTGATCAAAGGTGTTACCTGGAGCCATTAGTTTTAAGTAGCAGACTGAGGAGGTGGCGGCTCTGAGGTGCCTCTGAAAGCCTTCCAGGTTCTCTAACATAAAAATAACTGCCACTCCACAAAGATCAAAGCTTAGCCTGGATAAATGCCAAGGCTTGGGCTTCAAAGCAGACTAGAGATGAGACCTGGCCACCATGGAGCAAGTCACTGACACCGGGGAACTCAAGAGTGAACAACCTTGGCTGCATGAGCCTGGAGAAATAGAGCAAGTCATAGTCCAACTGCCTTTGGCAACCTGAGAAGGATATTATAGTAGGACTGGCCTTGATACAATTAAAGAATTGTATTATTAATGACAAATATATAAGTTCAAGATATATTATATAATAATAACATATAGAATAAGCATAAATCATAGTTAAAATCTTATTTTTAACTAAGAGGCGCGAGTTCCATGGTCTGGCATGCACACTGTGTAACTGTTTTCTCTGTTTGTCAGGTTGTCAGTAGTAAGCTGCAGTATAAGTGGCAAAGGACTTACAGCTCTTTCAAATGCAATCAAAGCAAACATGATACTTTCCTATATATACATCTGGGGGAACACATTTGATGAAGAGGCTTGTATGGTAAGTGTTTGTTTCTGAACTCCTGTGAGAGGGTTGGGTTTTGTTCATTTGTTCCAATTTGTTTTTACCATTGCTGGGTAGACTACAGCAATCAGTGAACAAGATACCTGATTTATTGTTTTTTAAAAAATTAATTATAACCTGGTGGTGCTGGATTGAGACAGTGGAGATCAGCATACTGAAGTGATTGAGTACTTACTGTGTGTGTTATCTTGTAGAGCCTTCACTGCAGTCAAAAAGAAATTTTATCTGTCATATGCCTGTTTTCATTTTTCAGTCATTTTCAGAGTTAATTCAGATGGGTCGCCTGAATCCCAACTGCACAGACGTGGCCCCGTACGAGGTGGACGGGCAAGCTCAGCTGGCAGAGCTGTCCCACGGCCTCCAGAGGGAATACTACTGGGCCCCACGGCACAGGGTCGTGGCAGACAGTGCTGCCAATGCCAGCCTGGGACTTGTAGCTGTTTCAGAGTATCTGTGAGTGAGGCAGCACTCCACAGGCCTGGGCTTTGCCTGTCTGGTTTCTAGTAAAATAAATTATATCAGTGTCAGATTTGCTTCATGTTGCTTCTTCAGATTTAACTCTAAAAGGAATCTAAAACTGCTTGAAATGGCAAAATGATAAAATATTGAACCAATGACCTTCAAATTCAGTGCTAAATAATGCCCAGTCTATGGAGAGTCTATTACTATGAAGAAGTTTACACCCAGGCAGAGCACACTGACAAAAGCTGACACCCAGGGCTGCTGGGCAGCAAATCAGACCTGCTGCAGAACAGGATTCCTGCTGGAGCTGAGAGCTTTTATTACCATTCTACTCCATATACTCTCTCCTTTTACTTAATAATTGCATCCTTTGGATCTTCTTCCCATAGGGACATTTGTAAACCAAGGTAAGTGCACTTAAGCATTAAGCCACAATCATGGTGGATCTTCAAAGCTAGTGAATGCAGTTTACTGGGATATACATGGAATTTGGATTAACTTGCAGCCTGTACTTGTTTCTTGCACTACAAATAGGAACCACAACCAATCCTGGTGCCATTATTTCTTCCTATCTCTTGAAAACTGTCTAAAAACTTTTCTATCAGTATAGCCCTGTGGCAACTCCTGCACATGAGTTGCATTTAATGGTAGTTAAACATTGTTTAAGGGTTTGGATACAGTCTTTGTAGAAGTTTGGGAATCACTCAGCTTGTTACCTTTTTCCATCCACTCTGCTCCTCCCTGCAGAAGTGACTCCATTTATGCTCCTAAATAGAAAAAAGTCATCAAACAGAGTCATGGATTATCCTGCTCTCCTATCTATGAGATCCAAGTATGAGGAGAAAAAGCTAAGGAAGTAATTTTACCAATAACAGCTGAGAACCAGCAATGCAACTGCTGCTGTTCTGACTCTGTATTATCACAGTGGGAGATGCACTGACACCCCTTCCCCAGCTGAAATGACCAAGGCAGTTGTGAGAGCTGTGCGTGTATGTGGAGGTTTTTTGCTGTTTGATTGCTTTTTTTTCTCATTGTCCCTTGCCTCCACCCCCACACACAAGTGAGTCAGGCTCTGTTGCTCCAAAAAGCACCTGATATCACAAGAGGCCTTAGAGGTAAGCCCAGAGCAGGTATGTTTGTCCTACACACCTGCACAGGGCCCTCCTGACCTGCAGCCCCTGTGTTAGGCACAAAGTCCATGTGTCACACACTGTGAACACCCTGTTTTAGAGGGGAGCTTATATTTTAACTATTGTTAAACGGGAAGGACGGAGCAACGAGAACAAAAGCTGAGGATACACTGGACGTGGTTGGTTGAGGAGAATCTGCAAGCTGTGAACATTTCTAAGTTTTTAAACAATTAGATAAGCCTGGATTGGTATTTTTCCCAGTGTTGCTGCTCTGGGACATAGCAGGTTACACTCCAATAGTCTACAGAGAGCCCTCTCATTACTGAGACACTGGTGACAGAATTTCTTGTCAGAAGGACCACTAAAAGACTCAGATTAAGGTATTTTTTTTCCATATATCTTTCTTTTCTTTGTCTGGTATATGAAATTCAGACTAGTTTCACTGCCCAAATTAATCTTTAATTTACTTGTATGAATGATATTCATTAATCTGCCCTGGTAATGGGGAACCAACTCTTCCAAGAGCAGTATTTTATTTTTAGTGATGTGGTTAAGATGGCAACAATATCATACACAAAATGTGTCAGGATAAATGGCATCTACTTTCAAAAGTGCTGGTGTATGTGTTTGAAATATTTGCACTCTATCTGACCCCTTGTTTAACAGCAACATGCTCAGCCTAGAAGAGCACTCTGCATTATTGACAATACCCATAAAACCAGCTCATGTGTTACAGTTTACTTTTATATTCTCTTGTAAGTAAAGGCTGCAAAGTAATTCCTACTGAATTCCGTATAAACAGCTTCCTAAAAACTAAAATAATTATTTGTGCCTAACCCTGTATTGCTTAAAGAGAACTATGCCAGAGAGGGCTATTGCTTTTCTTTCACTGAAAACCAAACCTTGACATCTTGTAAGAATTAATCTTGTGTTCTTTGGAATGAGAGAATTTACACAGGCTAGAATCTTTTGCTATGTTCTAAGTTATTTCAGTAGCTAAAGCAAGCATAGTCCTGCTCTGAAAACCATCCTTCCAGCTTTTAGAACTTGCTCTACTTTGCTGAAAGGCAGAATCTTTGCCCCAGTTTCAAAGGGAAGAAAATGACTGATCCAGCTGGGCAGTGGTACAGCACAGGTCCCCTAAAGCCCACCCTGTGCTCCAAGGGCCCCCATGGTCCTTGTTCCAGGGTGCTGTGAGGGGGGTGATGTTTGACTGTTTCCCTCTTGCTGTTGGTGCAGTCATAAACAGGAGACACAAGGTGAGGGAAAATTACAAAACAAGTTTATTAAAGTCTAACATAAAACACTTCAGGCTAAATATGTACAACCCCCTCCCTTCCCAGGGGATTATAAAATTGAGAGTTGAGGTATATACAAATAACAGAGGAAAAATTGTATATACATGACATAGTTTAAAAATAATTTAACCAAAAAAATCAGTTATTAGTCCTTATCTGAACTTAATTCTGCAAGGCTTATTGAGCCTCTCCGGGATCACAGCCCTGAAATCCTTCATGTGGGACTTGTCTTACTTGAAAATTGCTCTTTAACAAATGATATCAGAAAGGTTGTCATGCTTTGTGCCCACTTACGGGCACAAATTTGGAAGTAAATGTCATACAAGGAGCTATTCTCACCTAAATATTTCAGAGATTTCTAGATGCAGAGAAGCTACTCAGGCAAAACTTGCACCAACTTCAGTGCAAAACTGACTGAAACAACAGACAGCTCATGTCCTTGTCTCTAAATGACTGTTAACAGAATTATTAAAATTCCTTCTTTCCTTTTGCAAGGAGACGTCTGCCTACAAAGATTCCATGCTTTCCCATATTAATCCCTTACAGAAATGACCAATACTGTTATGAGCCTTGTACCTCCCAAATGAACCCAGAATCCCTAAGCCTAGGACTTCAGATGTGCAGCTGATTTCCATGCATCTATTGGCAAAAGGTACAGTCCAGACCTATAGCCTGAACACACCTACAAATATATTTATATATATATATACTTAAAATCTATATTCTAGTAAATGAATACAGTTTGTAGAGATCATACCTCAGCAGCTGAGATATCTTCATGAAAAATGAGGCTAAAAATCAAGATTCTCAGATGGGGATTCAAGAGTGCAGGTCACTAAATTATTGCTCCAAGACAAAACTACAAGCCTGTGTATTCTATTAAGAAAGGTTAAAATTGTTGTCTTGTAAAAAATAATGATTATCTTCTTGTCTATAAAGAAAACTAAATGACTAATAAAGCAAGTGTTACTGTTATAAGTATCTAAACAAATCCTGTATAAATCTAAGCACTGTATTTTTTAAAAAAGTCTGAAATCTAAGAATACAGTAACAAGCTATAATTTTAGAAATATAAAACCAGTCCAAACGAACGTTGTTATGGAATGCATTTTCTATGTAGGAATGTAATTATTTTTTAGGTTTCTTTCCAGAGCTAGTTCTCTCTCATGGTCATTTATCCTGGACATGTTTATCTTCAGCTACTTTTCCTCAGGGAACAGCAGCATATTGTTAGTTTGTCTTCCAAACCTGTTTAGATATGGAAGGTATCAGTTGTAGGGTGTTTTCTTTCTCAGTATTCATGACTAAGCCTATGTCTGTCTCAAGATTTCTGCTCTATTTTCAGAGAGAGAAAGTAAAGAGGAAGCTTTGGACAAGATAAACACACTAAAGATCCCAATCTTTGGGGTTCTTCAGTCTTAAATGGCAAGGCTAAGGAATCCTTCAGGGGCTACAGCAACAACAGGAGCTAAAAAAGAAAAAAGGGGAAGAAAAGGGGAAATGCCAAAGAAACAGGAAAAAAAATACCAGAGAACTTCATCCTTTGTCTTCTGCTAGTGTTATGAACATCAGCTGTTCATAAATGTTGTGGGACAGAGAGATCAAGAAATTAAAGGTCAGGCAGGTCCATCAATGATCAGCTCCAGTGGACAGAGTGAGAGATTCCTGAATTAAGGATGTTCCCATTGAACATGGCTGTACTCCTGCTGTCCGTGGCAGACTTTATCAGCAAATTTACCATATATTAAAGCATAAAATATGATCAAGCAGCAGGTTTTAAACGTGGCATATACTAATATGATCAACACAAAGAAGCAAAAGGTCTATTACTTTACAAGTACAAACATGTAGGAAGAGAAAAAATAAATCTATAGTCATGGTCAGGAGTCAGGGGATCACTTGCAGAATATTTAAATGAAACCCTACAAGAAATTTTTCATGAGTCTGTTTAAGGTGCAGATTAATTATTACTCCGTGTAGAACAGGATCAGTTAAGAGGTATCTCCTATGCTTTTCTATTTATCAGTGTCTGGACACAAGGCATCAGTGGAAATAAATGCTAGCACCAAGTAAATAACCAACAAAGTACAGCTCTAAATGCATTGTTGGTACAGTATGATCACTGTTTCATTACTATTTGATGATTACTTAGATAATGCTTACATTGCTAATGGCACAAACTGGCAAAACAGAGTAGGAGAGTACTCCTACGGTCACCTAGTCTTTTATGACCCTACCAAGACACTAAAAAATGTTGCTCTTTAAATATGTCTGTTGTTAGGAATAAAACATATCTTTGTATGGGCCTTGCTAGGTACCAGTTTTGTGCATTTACTGTGGACAAGTGACATGAGAGTTAAAGCAATACACAAAAACTTCAGTTAAATCAGTCACACTCTAACAAAATCTCCCCTGGAAGAATATCCATCTGCTCTGCTGTATTAGTCTTTAATACCCCCTCATGTAGTGTTCACTTACTATTTTCACAGTGAAGGGCAGGATTTATTTCCTCTTCTGGACCTCTTGTCTAGCACAAGAAGCAGCACTACAGTAAAAAAAGGATTATGAAGCTCTCACTGATGCCTCACAAATTAAGTCACTGCATCTTTTTGTCTCATCTACAACATGCATGTTCCAGCTCTCTTTTTGTTGCTGTTTGTGCCAAACCTGGGGCAGTTTAGGGATGTGAACAATAAATCTGGGACAAGATATGACAACGCTGGATTGACTTAAACAAACAAACAAAGGCAACTTGTTGGAAAGAAGACCCAATAGTTTCTATGCCATTAGGACTCTCTGACTTGCCACACTACAGAAAGAAATTAACCTTCCCTTACTTGTCTTGTCAGGAAAATACACCCAAACCTTTTTTTCCCTCTGGTCAGGCTTCACCTGCAGATGGCACTTCTGGCAGCCAGCAGCAAATCTTTGCAAGCACCTCAGCAGAGCCCTGACTGACCTTCCCCATGGACCATTCCAGCACCTTGGAGTGCAGGCTTATGAATACAGCCAAATTATGACTTTCCCTTGCACCTCTGGGTTAATATTCTTAAACTATCAAATATGGCTTAAAATATCTGTTCTCAAGTGACATTGTGACACATCAAATCAGCAGAAACATGGGAGGAGATCTCCAAAACACATTAACATACGTTAACAGGGAATTCTTAAGGCAGGTGTTGCTGGAAAGGAATCGTCTCCTAGAAATCAGTGTGAATTGCAAATAGAAATCTGATTGTAGATTAGCACAATTCAGCACTGCATGATGGAGATGCCTTACAGGTGTCTTTACACAAAGGGAAAACAAAGAACAAGTCCAATTCAAAGAGCGTGACTGCTTGTTTGATCATGTGCATCTTACCAAACGTTTGCAGGTTCGCTACCAAACTACTGCTCTGTCAGTACAACTGCTGCAAGAAAATGAACTGAGGTTCTGAGTATCCAGTCACAGCAGATCTCAGCAGTGTTTCTGATGAAGGGGACTGGCTCCCTGTCACGGGAAGCAGCATCTGGTGGTCTTCAGTCCCAATGGGAAGAGGAAGTGCTAAAGACATCTCAGAGGGCTTCACATCTATGGACTCCGACAAAGGACTTTTCTGACTCTGAATGGATTCTTGTTCATTGAAAGAATTATCAAGTGCATTAGAATCGGGGGGAGTTTCGGGTCCTGAGGAAAAGACAAAGAAAAAAAAAATCTGTTTAAAAGTTCCTGCGCAAATTCTGCAAATTCCTTCTCAACTGACTGTCAAAGCCAACACTTAGTGTGTCCTAGGCTGCCTGGACAGCTGGGATACCAGTGGCTTCCATCTGCTGGAAAGCCAGAGCAAGCTGTAAATACAGTGTAGGCACTGGGAGTCACATCTGCTGCTGCTTGTAGTGTGACAACTAGAAGGATGATGCATTCCAACCTGATCTCTACTTGGCATGGTACAGGAGACAACAAATCCTTAACATCACAGTGAACAAAGGACCTTTAAAAAAATGTAGTTATGAAAGTTTCCTTGAGATTTCCCACCCCAGAAAATCTCAGAACCAGAGCCACGGCCAAGCATCCTTTTTTATCTAAGGTAGCAATG